AGAAGCAGTCAAGGCTTCTTGGTCACAGGACCCTTCCTTACAGAAGTTGATCCATCAGATTCAAGGAGCGGGAGGTCATAAGCCCTATTTTAAGTTTCATGCTGGGCTGTTAAGTAGGAAGGGCAAGTTAATAGTAGGCTCTGTCCCTACTCTGAAGACAGACCTGATGGATTTCTATCACACCAGTTCTAGAGGGGGTCATTCAGGCATGAGGGTGACTCTACAAAGATTAAAGCAGGATTTCATCTGGAAGGGAATGAAACCTGATGTTTATTCATTTGTTAGGCACTGTGCGGTTTGCCAACAATGTAAAGGTGAGAATGTTGCATACCCTGGCCTGCTACAACCTTTGCCTATTCCTGATACGGTGTGGCAAGATATTTCCATGGACTTCATTGAGGGTCTTCCTAAGGCTGCAGGCAAAGAAGTTATTTTTGTGGTGGTTGATAGACTGAGTAAAGCTGCCCACTTCATGGCCCTAAATCATCCCTACACAGCTTTAGAGGTGGCTCAGTTGTTTATGGATGGGGTGTTCAAACTTCATGGCATGCCCAAGACAATTGTATCTGACAGAGATGCTGTGTTCACTAGCAAATTTTGGAAGGAGTTGTTTAGACTGCAGAAGGTGTCTCTTCTCACTTCAACTGCCTACCACCCACAAACTGATGGCCAAACTGAAGTGGTTAACATGTGTTTAGAAGGGTATCTGAGATGTATGACTTTTGATAAGCCTAAAGAATGGCCGCAATGGCTCTCACTGGCTGAATGGTGGTACAACACCACCTTCCACACCTCTATCAACTTAACCCCCTATGAGGTGGTTTATGGACAGAAACCACCACCCCTTCTCCCTTACATGGCATTTGAATCTAAGTTGGATCTAGTGGATAGAAGTCTACAAGCTAGAGAGGCTACTCTAAGGAGTCTCAAGTCTCATTTGGCACGAGCTCAGAACAGGATGAAAACACAAGCTGATAAAAGAAGGACTGAATGGGAGTATGCAGTAGGAGATTGGGTATATGTGAAGTTACAGCCATACAGACAAGTATCATTGAAAGCCTACACCTTCCAGAAGTTGGCTGCAAAGTTTTTTGGACCTTTTCAAATCATAGCAAGAGTGGGTTCTGTTGCTTATACTCTCGATTTGCCCCCTAATGCTAAGGTCCATCCTACTTTCCACATCTCTCAGCTCAAGAGGAAGTTGGGCGACCACACTGCTTCTGTTGTTCTACCTTTGGTTCGCTCAGACGATGGACATGTGTTGCTGGCACCAGAAGCTATTATTGACAGACGATTGATCAAACGACATGGCAAACCACTTACTCAATTGTTGATCAAGTAGTTTAAGACAGCTGAGGAAGACAGTACTTGGGAGGATTACCAGTCATTCATTCAACAGTTTCCTTCTTTTCATCCTTGAGGACAAGGATGGTCTCAAGGGGGAAGTATTGATATGTGCCAATTAATAAATAAGTCGTTAGTTCGGTTAGTGGTCATGTGAGTTGCACGTGCTAGTTGTTAGTCGGTTAACACTGTAGCCAAGTTAGTTATAACTAACTATGGGAGTCTGCTTTTACTTCACGTGTATAAATAGGAGATCAACCCCAATTGTAAAGGTATCGAATTGTAAAGGATCAATAAACAGTTCTCTCTCTTTCTCTTCTCAATTCCTCTGTTCTACAGAACCAGTTGTTCAAGAGCAATTAGTTAATTTGCTCTTTAGGCTTAGTTCGATTTCTTTCCCAATTAAAATTGGGGTTTTATCGATTTGGACTCCCTTTTTGATGAAAAAGGTATATTTACGATCCTTATGTTATGGGTAAACTGATTTTAACATAAAATTATTGATTCATCGATTATTTTCATCATATTAACCGCGTACAATTTGGACTTTTCCGGTAAAGTTAAAGTTTGATAAATTGAGAATTTCAAGGTCGATCTTAACTCCGTTTTTGATGAAATTTCATATTTGAACTTATCTAAGCATGGGTAAGATGTTTTTCAAGAAATATTTCATTTTCGAGTCGGGGTTTCGGATCCGAATATTTTGGGCTTCTTCAAGAACATGAATTTTCCTTCAAATTGAGTTTGTGAACTCATTTCAACTCCTTTTTCGAAACGGTTTTCACTATTGGATTCTAAATTTCTTGGGGAACATTTTTCACTAAAAATTTCCAGATTTCGAGAATATTTTCCGGAACGAGATTTTTGACCATTTTACCCTTGTTCTCCAAATTTCACGATATTGGTGTTGTTAGATTCGTATTTATTGTGGGATTCCATTTATGAATAGATTGTGGTGATTTGGAGCGTGCTCGGAAGGGTAAAACTCAAATTTGAGTTACTAGTTGAAGTGTTTTGAGGCAAGTGACTTCTAAACTTTGTTAAACTCTTAGACTACGCATGACTACTTTCCTAATTGTGTTGGGGAGTAATGGGGATTGAGGATGGGTTTTATTTGTTGATTGAAATTGTTGTAAATGAAAGATTAGGAATAAAACGATCTAAATGTGTTATATGTGACTTGAATTTGTTGAATAAGTCATGTGATAACTGATATTGAGGGGATAGAAGAGCATGAGTAGGCTATGATTGATACAGACATTGATGTTGAGACAGATGATGTGTAATACTATGATGTGGTCGTGATATGGTTGTGATTGAGACAGGTGATGTGTAATACTATGATGTGGTCGTGATATGGTTGTGATTGAGACAGGTGATGTGTAATACTATGATGTGGTCGTGATATGGTTGTGATTGAGACAGGTGATGTGTAATACTATGATGTGGTCGTGATATGGTTGTGATTGAGACAGGTGATGTGTAATACTATGATGTGGTCGTGATATGGTTGTGATTGAGACAGGTGATGTGTAATACTATGATGTGGTCGTGATATGGTTGTGATTGAGACAGGTGATGTGTAATACTATGATGTGGTCGTGATATGGTTGTGATTGAGACAGATGATGTGTAATACTATGATGTGATCGTGATATGATTGTGATTGATGACATGTGCATATTTATTATTCATCCCATGTGTGAACTATCTGTTGCATGAGTTCTGAGACACTGATATGAGGATGGATGGATATGAGACACAGTTGAGACTAGCTCCGGCTAGAGATATATGAGATGGAGTAGCTCCGGCTAGCGATTTGGATGCCGATGGGATAAAGTGGTTGATTAAGCTGCTTGGCTATGACTATTCTATTGATTATAAGAAAGGGAAAGATAATGTGGTGGCCGATGCCCTTTCAAGGAAGGATGATCTAGTTCAGCTTAACAGTATCTCTGGAGTGGAGTCTCAACTATTAGAAGCAGTCAAGGCTTCTTGGTCACAGGACCCTTCCTTACAGAAGTTGATCCATCAGATTCAAGGAGCGGGAGGTCATAAGCCCTATTTTAAGTTTCATGCTGGGCTGTTAAGTAGGAAGGACAAGTTAATAGTAGGCTCTGTCCCTACTCTGAAGACAGAGGGGTGGTGGTGGATACGGGAGAGTAGAGTCTTTGTGTAAATAATAAAACTTATCACTTCATTCAATAATTAAAACTAAGACTTGTATCACTTTTCCCCAGTTTCTGGGAGAGAAGAATTTCAAACAGAGAATTGGAGCAGTAAAAGTAGAAGAAGGAGAAGAAATTAGCCATGAAATTGCTACAATTGCATTGCGTAGAGCTGTCCATTTCTTCTCAGCTTTACAGGCTACTGATGGACATTGGCCTGCTGAAAATGCCGGTCCTCTCTTCTTTCTTCCACATCTCGTAAGTTTTTTCATTTGTATTTGTAAAATTCTTTTCACAAATTGGATGTGCTCAAGCCAAAATTGTTTCAGGTTATGTGTATGTATATCACTGGGCATCTTAATACTGTATTTCCAGCTGAACATCAGAAGGAAATTCTTCGGTATATATACTGTCACCAGGTATATGACGTAATGTCACAATGAATATACTAGTGCAAATAAAAGCTCTGAATTACTGATGGCATTCTGTTTTATTCAGAATGAAGATGGTGGATGGGGTTTGCACATAGAAGGTCATAGTACTATGTTCTGTTCAGCTCTAAGTTACATATGCATGAGGATCCTTGGAGAAGGACCAGATGGTGGCAAAAAGAATGCTTGTGCTAGAGCAAGGAAATGGATTCTTGATCATGGTAGTGTCACTGCAATTCCTTCATGGGGAAAAACTTGGCTTTCGGTATGATTAGTTACCTTAATAAATTTTTAGAAGACTGTATATTATAGTAGGATTTAAGTTGTATACACTGGTATTGTACACAATTTTTACACTATCAGTATGTATTAATCTGTTGGAGCAGGTGTTATGGTCCATCGCAATTCCCACATCGGTACTACAAGGTGCTGATGCAGGGTTTATATAGCCTTGGACTCTCCAGCTCTAAGGTTGTAACGGTGGTATAAGAGCCAACCACCACCCTCCGTGTCCGCCGTGCCATAAATGGCAACACTGGTGCAACAGTGTTTGACCGGATCGTGGTGTTTGCTATGGTCCTTTGGAAGTCCCAACCTCCCACCTCAATAGTGGAATAGTGGATTCAACCTTTAGGTTCTTATTACTGCACTTATTGTGGATGGTTAGTGGAATCAACCTTTAGGTTCTTAGCACTGCCCTTATTGTGGATGGTTAGTGGAATCAACCTTTAGGTTCTTATCACTGCACTTATTGTGGATGGTTAGTGGAATCAACCTTTAGGTTCTTAGCACTGCCCTTATTGTGGATGGTTAGTGGATTTCAACCTTTAGGTTCTTATCACTGCACTTATTGTGGACAGTTAGTTGTGATCATTTAGGTGACCTGATTTTGCAAAAGCTCTTTCTTATCTTTAGTAGTATAAAAGAAACTCGTTAAATTATTGGCATAATACATAAATATGCTCTCTAACTTGGCCTCCTTGTTGCTGATAATTTAACGAGTTTCTCTTATACTACTAAAGATTTAGTGTCTTCTTGTTGCTGATAAATCTTCCTTCTTGTCATTCAGATTCTTGGAGCTTTTGAGTGGTTAGGAACCAATCCAATGCCCCCTGAGTTTTGGATTCTTCCATCTTTTCTTCCTATGAATCCAGGTTGATCAATATTTGTTATTGCTTACACATACACATCCTAAAATTCTCAGTTCATTTTATTGTAGATATTAGTTTTAAGGATTTGCTATGCAATGTTTTCTGGTTGATGTCATTCTCCATTGGTGTCCATATATTGATCTACCAAGTATTTTGACTCTTAATCTAAATGCAGCAAAAATGTGGTGTTACTGTCGAATGGTTTACATGCCAATGTCTTATCTCTATGGGAAGAGATTTGTTGGTCCAATCACACCTCTCATTTTGCAATTGAGGGTTGAGTTATATAGTCAACCATACGATGAAATTAACTGGAAAAGAGTACGCCATTTATGTGCAAAGGTATGACTATCAAGGGTCGTTTGATTATTGAGATCAGAAATAAATCTCAACATAATATTCAATATTATTTATCCCTCTATAAATTTGTCTACGGACCAAATGAGTCCTTGGTGTTCAAGTTAGTATAGATATCATACTATTTTGTACAAATGCTCAAACACAAACTTGTTGCGCTAGGAGGATCTCTATTACCCTCATCCATGGGTTCAAGATTTGATGTGGGATAGTCTCAACATATGTACCGAGCCTCTATTGACTCGTTGGCCTTTCAACAAGCTGAGAAATAAAGCTCTTGAAGTTACCATGAAACATATACATTATGAAGACGAGAATAGCCGATACATCACCATTGGATGTGTTAATAAAGTATGACAACTTATTCATTTTGGACAAATTACAAAATACCTGCATTTTCTTAACGACTTCAATCCTCTGACACTTCTGTAACACATGGATGGTGTAGGTATTGTGTATGCTTGCTTGTTGGGTTGAGGATCCAAATGGCAGTTATTTCAAAAAACATCTTGCTCGGATTCCAGATTATTTATGGGTAGCTGAAGATGGAATGAAAATGCAGGTTGGTATATATGAATTATCTTTTGTAATCAAGGAAATCATACTATTTCACAAACCACAATGAGTTAAGAAATAGCATCTGTTTTACACTTAAACACGCGTTTGTAAAATAAAAAACTAGCCCCTTTTCCTATTCTGAAATGATGCAAACAATTCTTACTGAAATAGGTGAGTATTTGTCGTTGAATTGCAGAGTTTCGGTAGTCAAGCATGGGATACTAGTTTTGCTATTCAAGCATTATTGGCCAGTGAGATGAATGATGAGATATTAGATACTCTTAAAAAAGGACATGACTTCATAAAAACATCGCAAGTTGGATGTTTAAATCATGAGCATAACAGCTCTTTCAAAATGTGTACCTTATTAATGTAAGTGACTTTGTTGCTAGGTGAAGGACAATCCTTCTGGTGATTTTAAAGGGATGTATCGGCATATCTCAAAAGGATCGTGGACTTTTTCAGATCAAGATCATGGATGGCAAGTATCTGATTCCACTGCCGATGCATTAAAGGTAACTATCTATTCAATAAAATAAGATTCCAACTTCTTGTAATTACTGAAAAGCAGCAAGATGATAATGCTTGTAGATTGCCTGATATCTTCTTAATTTTGTTTCTCTAGTGATGCATTTTCTTCTCTACAATGCCTGAAGAATTAGTTGGTGAGGCAATTGAACCTGCACGATTGTATGACTCAGTGGATGTTATTCTTACCTTCCAGGTAAAAACTGACTAATGTGTCCTAAAATCACTAGTCATTCAATCTGAAGTTGTCTGCTGCTTGTACTTTATTCCAAGAGAAACCTATATCTTACCTCGAATAGTCCAATACATGGCTACCTATGTTATAAATTCATATTTTCTGAATTTAGTCACTCATCATTTGGCACATTTCTAGCAATATTGAGATCCATTTAAATAAAATTGCAGAGCAAAAATGGGGGTTTAGCCGCTTGGGAGCCTGTAGGGGCCTCACAGTATTTAGAGGTAAAGTAAAATAATTGTTTTAGTTTGAGATTCACAGTATAGGAATTTTATCTATTTGCTTCATTTCGAGATTGTTAACAGCATTCAACTTCTTCTATAGTCATCCAGAACCTGAATATGTAACTTTCTTGTTGTGTTATATTCACTGACAGTTGCTCAATCCTACTGAACTTTTTGCGGACATTATCATTGAGCATGAGTAAGATTCTGTCAAAACCCTATTTATAGACACTATAATACAATCCCTTACCAAGCAGGAGACTATAAACTATTCCTATTCTAACAACAACTTCACACTGATTACATGTCAATCCAGGTATGTTGAGTGCACTGGCGCGTCAATACAAGCACTAGTTCTGTTTAAAAAGCTATACCCTGGACACCGGACCACAGAGATTGACAATTTCATTGATAATGCTGTTAAATATCTTGACGATGTACAGAATCCTGATGGTTCATGGTATATGATATTTTTCTTGCGAGTCCTTGAACGTTCTGCTCTGTCGATACATATGACACGATTATCATGTCAATAGGTATGGTTCCTGGGGTGTGTGCTTTACATATGCTTCCTGGTTTGCTCTTGGAGGGCTTGCTGCAGCAGGCAAGAGTTACAGCAACTCTGCGGCTGTTCGGAAAGGCGTTGAATTTCTGTTACGAAGACAAAGGTCTAATGGTGGTTGGGGAGAAAGCTATCATTCTTGTCCTGACAAGGTAATGTAAAAGCACAAAAGCTACGTTAAACAACAATAAATACACATACGTCTCAGTTTGTGCATTGTTAAGGTCAATTATATGCTATGTTTCTCAGAATGTCACTTGGTGCATGTTGGATCCTCCAAAAGTTGTGCATTTTTGGAAGATCTGCAACAACATTTTTGGAGCGTCCATGCAACATAGTAGGTTATATGAACTCTGCACATGCATCCAACTCCATTTGGAACCGTTTCATTCCAATACTAAATATTTTAAGTCTTAAGTTTTCTATTGACATGCATTTTTACCCTTAAAGAATAGGATGAAGTATAAAGATATCTGGAAAAGATAACTGTGACTTAGCTTTGTATTTGAACAAACAGGTATATAGAGAGCTTGAAACAGAACACTCAAATCTTGTACAAACTGCATGGGCATTGATGGGATTGATTCACTCTGGCCAGGTTAATTCCTTGTTACTATTAGTAAAAGCATAATACATAAACATCACTCAAACTTGCTCTCAACTGACAATTAAGCACTACAACTTTGAGAGTGCACATCTAGGCACTTCAACTCGTTTCCACTGTGTCAGTTGAACACTTCAACTTACAAAATAATCATCTAGACACCTTCAAAATTTATGTGCCACGAGACACAATGAAGACGAGTTGGAGTGTTTAGTTTCCAGTTGAGACCAAGTTGAGGTGTCTAGATGTGACCTTTCAAAGTTGGAGTGCTTACTTGTCGGTTGAAGCCAAGTTTGAAGGTTTGTTTATGTATCATGCCATTAGTAAATGCTGTAATTTATAACAAAATCAGAGTAGAACTTTTCTTTATAAGTGTTCTTTACCAACTTTCCTTTGGACAGGTTGATAGAGATCCAAGACCCCTCCACCGTGCGGCTAGGCTTTTGATTAATTCTCAAATGGAAGATGGTGACTTCCCACAACAGGTAATTACTCTGTAAATTACAAGTTAAACAAAGGAGAAGATTCTTTGACCGTTAAAAGAACAAGCTGTTACTGGAACAAAATTGACTGTAGTAAAACAAAGCGAATATAGATGATTCATATAGTTGACTTTAAACAATCTGGTCATATTTGAATGATATTTGATTAATGGAAAAAAAGTTCAAATATGCCATCGAACTTTCAGTAAAGAGTGACACAAATGTGGACTGTTGTCACGGTGATGACATAAATAGCCCAACTATTAACATATGGCATGACTGAGCCATTTCTTAAAGTCCGATGACATGTTTGAACTTCTTTCCTTGATTAGTTGATATAAAGAAACAATCCCTTTCAAACTGGCAAAACAATTTCTCAAAGAACAGAGATTGCTAAAACCAGTTTTATCAAAATATTGCACTTATTTGACTTTATAAATATGTGCAGGGAATAACTGGAGTTGTCATGAAGAATTGCATGTTGCACTATGCAGCATATAGAAATATATTTCCATTGTGGGGTTTGGCTGAATACCGCAAAAATGTCCAAGTACCATTAGAACACAACTAAATATATATAATATTATGTCTTAAGAAATAAATAATTTAGTTTATTGTTTCTTGTGTTAATGTAAGTTATGTAACAGTGTCCAAAATCATTGCCTAAGCTGTTGTTAAATATTTGGCATATATGCATAATTTGTGTAATCAAGGATATTCTATTTTAAATATTTAGCTTAATTCTATCCCATTTTATAGATTTTCTTTAATTTAGATTTATTACTAGATCTTTACTTGATATTTTCTATGGGTAAGGGTCTTAGGAGTCTAGTCCCAAGATGAGGTCGGGTCTAGGATCGGGGTCGAAGTCGATCCTGGATTGGGGTTGGATCTTGGGTCCTGACTCTTGAGTCAAGGTCGGATCTCCAATTTTGGGTCAAAGTCGGGGCTTGGTCTCAACTCGTGGTTGGATCTCGGTTCCCAAATTTGGGTTGGGTTTCAAATCGGGGTTAAGGTCGGATCTAGAGTTTAGGGTCAAAATATAAGAATGTGATCATTGTTGTAAACAAGTGGATGTCCATAGAGACCTACATTTACTGTAGCTTATTCATCTCTCCAAGTAATTTCACCCTTATAAAAGGGGCATTACATTGTAATAGAAACAGATATCCCTTTGAGAAGAAAACTACTTCTCTGCTTCTTTCTCTTCCTTTCTTCTTTTACTTTAATATTTTTATTTTAAAACACGTTATCAGCACGAAGCTCTAATTTTCTTTGGATAAATTAAATTTCTATTACATTGTTCATCATGTCAAACTTATCAAAGCTTGAGTTTGTGGCACTTGATATTACCGAAAGGTCTTGGTGATACTATTAAACAAGAAAATAAAACATCAAGTCAGGATAAAGCGAAGGCCTTGATTTTTTTACGACATCATCTTCATGAGGGATTAAAAATTGAATATTTAACTGTGAAAGACCCTCTTGAATTATGGATTAATTTGAAGGATTGATATGACCACCTAAAACTTATGGTGTTACCAAAAGCTCGATATGAGTGGATACACCTTCGATTCCAAGATTTTAAAATTGTAACTGAGTATAATTCTGTTATTCATAAAGTAAGTTCCATATTAAAATTATGTGGAGTACTATCACTGATGATGACTTACTTGAGAAAACATTTCCACTTTTCACGCTTCAAATGTGTTGTTACAATAACAATATCGTGAAAAGGAGTTTAGGAAATATTCTGAATTAATTACATGCCTACTTGTGGCTGAGCGGAATAATACTTTGTTGATGAAAAATCATGAAATCCGTCCCACTGAGTCTGCTCCACTCCCTGAAGCGAATGTTGTAGCAACACATAATCAGTCTGAATCAAGAGAAAATAATTCTTGTGGACGTGATCGTGGTCTTGGCCATGATCGTGGACGTGGTAGAGGACGAAATAATTATCGTCATTATGGTGGAAATAAACACGAGAATAACAAAATTTCTCAAAATAATCCTTCTCGAGGTAGAATCAATATTTGTCATTGAAGTGGTATGAAAGGTCATTGGGCACGTGAATGTCGTACGCCTGGTCATTTTGTGAAACTTTATCAAGCCTCTCTCAATAGAAAAAATACTAATGTAGAGGCACACTTGACCTTTCAGAATGATAAGAATGAAGCAGCTTCCTCAAATAAATATGATGATATTGATGCAAATCTTGTTTATAAAGATGATGACTTTGAAGGCCTCCCAAATATTACTCATCTGAAAGTTAAAGACTTTTATGAGAATATTGATTGAAGAACTGATCATCTAACTAGGAATAAAATTATAAGAATAATTGTTGGTTTTCTATTATGTTTGCAACAATGTTGTTCTTCTTAAATGTTTTTCTTAAGGCATTATGTCTTTACTAATTTCTACATTTTTAGTATAATTTCTTAAAGTTTCTTATGTGGTTAGTTTTTTACGTTCTTATAATATCTTTTATTTTTATGAAGAATATGAAAATTCCCCAGTCATCATATGGATCCAAAATCAATTATGATGATATATGTCTTATAGATAGTGGCACAACACACACTATTTTAAGAGATAAGAAATATTTCTCTTACTTAATTATGAAAGAAGCTAATACTAATACAATAAATGGGATAAGGCACAACTACCCTCTAGACTATGATCGAAATCTCATAGATACACCTTAACTAAACTAAGGTCCTATTACCCCATGATTTTTATTTATTTTTTGTAATTTTGTACATCTTTTGGCTTATGTGACACACTCCCATGAAATTGAGGCGCGTGAGAGATATTTGCCTTAGGAGTTAAGCAAATGCAAGTGTTGTTTAAAGCTTTCCCTTTGAAGTGTTCAACATGTTAAAGTATCGATAGACATGTAGCAAACGATGATGTTGGTTATCTTCAACATGTTCAAATAGTTGACCTGAAATTTGGTAAGGTCCAGTCGTGTTGATGTAAATATATTGAATAAACCATATTGTTATGCGATAGATCGATAGATGACATGGTTTTCTTTGGTGTTTTCTCTAAGTCAGAGTGTCACGACCTGAGCCTACACCCTAGACGTGGCTGGCACTCGAGAACCATTGCTGGTCCCCAAGCGAACCCTCATCTTGGCTGACTACAAGCGGAAAACTGATTCAAGCATGCAAAGCTTAAAAACTGAATAAAATTCATGAACTCAACTTTGCAAATCTTTAAATCAAAGAAAAACTACGAATAAAAATACATTATTCAACTCGCCATAAAATAGGCAACTTAATTCTTTAAAACATTTAATAAAATAAATGAACAGACTTCTGAAACTCTACAATCTATCTATGAAGCTTCTAACTGACGAAGATGGAAGTCGAGACAAGACCTACGACTTCCTAACAAAACTGAAAAGTAAATGAAATCTTCCAAAAGCAAGGAGACTCACCATAGCTAACTTTTTTTGTAGTTGTACTTTTAAAATTTGGGACATAAAAGCCCTTCCACGTTTTACTTTTCAGCCGCAAAAAAAATTGCCTACTTTCCATGCATGTGGGCCATTCTTTTTCTCCACTTTCCTTCTATTAATTAATGCATGTAATATAGGTCCCACTTCATATTTCCTTTTCTTTATTTATACCTCATAACTTCTTTCATTTTATTTTTTATGGCAAAATCATTTTTTTAAAATGCTAATTACTTTATTTGTTTACCAAATATGGAAAAATTATGTCTTTTTTCTATTTTGTTATATATCTAAAAATTGTATAAATATAAATAACACTATAAATCATCATAATTAACAACTTAAATATTTAAAAGTTATATAAAAAAATTTAATTGATTCTCAAAATTCTATTGGTATCAATTTATAAATCACAACAATTAACAATTTAAAAATTATAAAATACATATAAAAAATCACTTGACTCAAAAAAATCTTATCAGTGCTACATAAATTGGGACAGGAGAAGTAACATATATGATCTGAAAATTATGTTAAATATTTAAAAGACATATAAAAAATAATTAATTTTTGAAATTCTATATATGCCACGTAAGTTGATCATCTTACTAAATCAACAAAACATTATTTAAAATTTTCCCATATTGCCGTTGATTCCTTTTGAAAGTGTCACATTTGTTTGTAAAATTCTCACAAAGTTTTTTAAATGTTGAATTAGTAAAGTTATTTTCTTATTTATAATTTCTTCAGTACCGTGCAAAATGAAAAGTAATCAATTAATATGAGACAAGCGAACAAAAGTGAGTTTGGCAATCGGAGAGAATGTGTCAGAATAATCTACTCCATATGTCTGAGCATACCCTTTAGCCACAAGTCTAGCCTTAAGTCTTGCTATGGAACCGTCTGGATTAACTTTAACTGTGAAGACCCACTTACATCCCACTGGTTTCTTTCCCTTAGGTAAATCCACCAAATCCCATGTGCGGTTCTCCTCTAAGGCATGTATTTCATCAAGCATTGCATTAGACCATCCAGGATGATTCAAAGCCTCCTTCACTGTTTTGGGTACAGAGACGGAGTCTAGAGAAACAATCAAAATCTAGAAGTAGAGGATAAGCGATCATAGGAAACAACATTAGCAATGGAATATGTAGATTTGCAGGCACGTGTACCTTTGCGAAGGGCAATAGGGAGATCAAGGTTTTCTGGAGGAGCAGACAGAGGAGGGTCAGATGATGAAGAAATAGGTTCATGACAAGAATCATTGGTCTCTCGCCTCCTAGAGTAAACTTGAACAATTGGTGGTCTTGCTAGTGTAGATGGGGCAGGCACGGAAGGTACAACGGGTGAGTGATGATCCACAGAAGAATTGGGAGTTGGAGAAATAAAATCTGATTGTTTTGTCGAAACACTGGTGACTTGATACACTAACCACTCATCTTCCTCCTCTTGGCTTGTAGAACTGGGAGGTGCATAAAAGAATGGTGTAGTCTCTGAAAATACCACATCACTTGACACAAGATATTTCCCAAGTTGAGTAGAATAACATCGATACCCTTTCTGAAGGCGAG